TTCCAGGAGTCCTGGGAATGGGTGAAAATCGTTGCTTTTGGTTTTAAAGCTGGGATTTTAGTGCTTCTGTTCACAGAGGACAGCTTAAAATGGTTCAGGGAAATCATGGGACCCTGCTGTTTGCTTTATTAATCTTACGATTTTCAAACCTTCGAAAGCTCTTGAAGCACCTGACTCCCCATGTTTGAGGCTGACAGTCTTGAATGCAGCCTTGTCCTATGCATTGCTGCTACTGGGAGGTTTTGAGGATGACCCAGGGAAGAAGGTGTTCAAGTCTGCTTTGGTGTCAGACTGTGCTATCAGCAGCGCGGAGACTGGGCATTCAGGGAGCCAGTCATGGGGCAGCAGGACCATGTGACCATGCTAAGGCTGGGTCTTGGGGGAGCACAGGCTCACAGAAGCTGGGGTGTGGGGCCGTGTGGAGGTTGGGTGCCCAAGAGTGTTAGTGCTTTACTCTTGGGAGCTGCTCTTGCAAAATTTCAGCTCCAAGCAGCTTCATACCCTTACCCTGCCTGCTGACCCCAGACCCTGACAATGTGCTGTCACCACCCAAGCACTGTGGTGGTGTGTTCAGATAGAAAATACCTCTGCGGGTGGTGGCCCCTAGAAGGGCTAAAGCTGCCTCTCTGGGATGGGCAGGTTGAATAAAATGTGCCTGGTACTGAGCTTGATTCACCCCAGTGCTTAACTGTGGACAGATTCTCGTGCTGTCTTAGTCTTGTTTAGCTTCACTGGTCTGCATGGGGTGGCAGTTAGCATAGGACTGGGGTTTTTTTCCCCCTTACAAATCACAGCACAATCCTGATCCAACAGGATGTTGCTTTGCTGGAACTGGGCACATTAAAGGCTTGATTCAAAGCCCCTGGATTCCATTAAAGGATTCCCCCTGACTTAGAGGACTGAGGAACAGGTTCCAGTTTGAACTCCCTTCCCCCTTCTCTGCCACTGTAGCCCTTAAATATCCATCCATCCCCTAACTCCCTTACTCCATCCCTCCTCTCCTGGGCTGTTGTGTAAGTGGAAGAGGCCATGACAACAGGGTGCTCTTTGCTTTTGGCAGGAAGGGATTTCCTCAGAAATACTATTCTGTGGATAAATGAGGACTTGAATCCCTGAGATGGAGAAGTCAGCACTGCTCCATTGAAGGCAGTGGAGCTTTGCTGCTTTATGCCAGTGAAGAGTCTGGCTCCAGGGAGGGAGCTTCTGGGCTGGGAGAAATTCTTGGCTTCCTGGCAGATCTCTCTAAAGCCAAAAAACTTGTGTGTGGTGGATGTGGCTGGGGTTACAGAAATTGGAGCTGCCCCATATTAACATTCCTCCATTTCTTTTAAATGTATTTATTTATTTATTATTAAAAAAGTCTTGTGTCTGCAGGAAACCTCACCCTACAGAGAGGGAGCTTGGCTTAAAGAGTTCCTCCTCACTGTGGTACTGTTCTTCTTGGGGTAAGTGTTGTACTGGATAGCTGGATTTTCTCTCTCATTAGTACCAGATTCAGACCAAGCTGGCTTCTCATTTCACTTTCTACTCCTGTGGAATGTGTTTTCAGGCTTATTGTGATCAAGACTTTCCCCCCAGTTAGTGGGGGCAGGGCAGTGCTCAGAGGGGATTCAAACATGGCCATCTTCTGTGTTAGCAGAGCAGTGATTTCCACCAGCTGGGTAAGTGAACCCATGCTTTGCCCACTTTTTGAGGAGGCAACAGGTGCATTTCAGGGCATTTTCCACTATGTTTATTTGTGAAGATGGATTGTCTGCACTGGTTGGGCTCAAAAAAAAGTATGTGAGCAGCATGTGGAACCAGATGTAAGGCTAACCATTGTCAATTCAACTTGACAGTCATGTCTTGTTTCCATTGATTTGACAACAGTCATTTCATTAACCAGACTTAATGAAAGAGTACTTAAGAGTTTTACTTTTTAAGCTTAGAAGTGTATTTTCATTTACATCTCCTGCTTAGCATATTCAGTTAAAACTGTGAAGATTAGAATGCAAGTGATTTGCTGGAAATGTTGAGACCTTACAGTCGTTTACCACTGATTTAAAGGATGAAAGTGGCATTGGTGGTGGCCATGTCTCAGGACAGCGCCATTACCAGCACCACCTTCATTGACTAGTTGCGAGCTTCATTGGAAGTTTCCCCCTGGGGATGAGCATGTACCACAGATGGGTACTGGCCTGCAATTGGAGTTCCAGATGG